TCAGATGTTCTGTTTCCTGTTTATCAAACAGTCAGACGTTCTGTTTCCTGTTTATCAAACAGTCAGACGTTCTGTTTCCTGTTTATCAAACAGTCAGACGTTCTGTTTCCTGTTTATCAAACAGTCAGATGTTCTGTTTCCTGTTTATTAAACAATCAGACGTTCTGTTTCCTGTTTATCAAACAATCAGATGTTCTGTTTCCTGTTTATTAAACAATCAGACGTTCTGTTTCCTGTTTATCAAACAATCAGATGATCTGTTTCCTGTTTATCAAACAGTCAGACATTCTGTTTCCTGTTTATCGCTTGTTTTCAGGTTTCAAACATCTTTAACGTTTCAGTGAAGGTCAAACGTTTGTTATTGTTCCTAAAAAAGAACCTCATCAGACCTCGGAGGGTTTTTATTTCCAGCTGAGCAGGAGAAGGAGCAGGAGGAGGAACCAGGTCCACGTGGTCCACTTCAGATCCAAGACTCAGCGGCCCTCTCGGCTGTTGCCCCTGACAACGCTTTCTGCCGGCGGGGTTCTGGTGGAGCAGGAGCGCCGAGCTGCCAAGTTCTCCCTGCGGGACGAGGCCTCCCAGAGTCCAAGACCCGCCGCTTGGCTTTGTGCACTCGGCCCTGCTGGACCCCAACCGCCATGAACACAGAACCAGTCCAGACTCCGCCCCCACAGCTTCACACATGAACTAAAGGGGTTTCTGCTGGACTTCCTGATCCCTGTAGTTTGAGTAGAAAGTGTGAGGAACTCTTCCTCAGAGTGTTTCTGTCTGAAGTCCACCTGTGTCTTCTGGTCCCTGCAGACCCTGAGGTGAAGCGGCGTCCTGCTGCGTCCYTCCGACAGGAAGCTGCTGAAATTCAAAATGTCTGCCGTTACCATCAGCCTGCTGACCCTCCTCATCCTCCTGCCTGCGGTCAGTTCACCTCCTGCTTTATGTTCATCAAATAAGGAGTTGAAGCAGTTTTATTTCAGATCAAATCAACCGAATCTGATTGATTTTCACACTTAAAGTGCCCGTGACATTAAATGTAAGTGATACATCTGAGTGCATATTTGGAAAGATAACATTCATGATGAATTGCGAACAGAAATTCACGACACTGAAATGAACAGTTGTTGGAATATTTGCATGAGCAGAAACAGGAAGTGATGTCAAAGGGGAATGCCTGAATGAGTTGTTACAACGGCTAACAACAGACTGCCAAGAATCAGATGTTTCTGTRGATTATTTTGAGTCATTATCASATAAAGAAGAGTCAGATTTATAAAGACCCGGAAGTTACCGTTTTTTAAAAGACTTCCCCTTTGACATCACTTCCTGTTTCACTTGGATTGCGCCAAATTTGGCAAAAAATATGCACGTTTTGTGACAAACTAGGTAAAAACCATATGAATGATGCTAAATTTCTAAAATATTAAGATATTTTCTTTAATTTTTTGTAACTGAAGAAAAAGCATGTCACGCGCACTTTAAAGTTAGCATATGGAGCGTCTGCATCATTAATTCATTCCTCAGCAGGAGGCAGGAACACTGGATCATTCCTCATCATTTATTTATTGTTTATGCAACAATAATCCTGACTTTTAATAGTTCGAGTCATAAAACTTCATCATTGTTGCTTCTTTATGTAACCCAACGTCATCGGACAAAATCCAACACTGAGTCGAAGACAGCATGTTTGAAATGAAACATCATGTTTGATTACATTTATAAATTTATCCAGCAGAAGGTCTCGTTCATTTTTACTCAAGAAGTCAGAAACAATAACGTATAAAAATCAAGAACTGAACCCTGACTTTATGAGAATTTGAAAATGATGAAACTAAAATACAACTAATTTAAGAGAATCTGACTCTGACAAACATGGGAATAAAATATTAAACACATTCAGACAAAATAATCTAACATAATGTTTGGGCCATAAATCTGTGAGCTCCCAGCAGATTTTGGCCAAAGCATTCAGGGGCGGAGCCAGAGGGATGGGCGGGGTGACACCTGATTGGCCACCCCAGGTGCCACCCCCAAATGATTGACAGGTGGGATTTCAATGATGGTTAGGTAGAGCTGAATAAATACAAAGTAGTAATAATGTGCAGTAGTTCTGGGTTTAACCAGTTATTGAAAATCAGGAAACATAGAAGCCAGTCTGTCACACATGGAGCAGCTAGAAAGGTTTCTTGAGAAACTGCGATGAAAACTGCCATGTATGCACTATTTAAAATTTATGTTTTGATTGCACTATATAATTTGTGTTCGCTCCCAACAAGTAGAAATTRCAACTCAAGATATTTAAAAATAGCTGAGTTATGGTCATTTCAATGTAGCTTTGGTGGCCATCTTGAATTTTTGATTTGTATTCAGAAAATGTTGAAGATTGTTGTCGGCTACTATTATACCAATTTTCAGCTTTATGTGGGTAAAACTGTCTGAAATACAAATATCTCTTTCAAAAATTAGCATTAGCCCTTAGCTTAAAATTGAGATTAAAAATAGCTAAATTAGAGCCATGGATTGTTGTTGTCTATGCCAATTTTCAGCTTTATGTGTCTAAAATTGTCTGAAATAGATAAGATAAGATAAGATAAGATAAGATAAGATAAACCTTTATTGTCATTGTACAGAGCACAATGAAATTACAGTTCAGGACACCCATTCAGAAGAAGACAGAACATAACAAACATAGGAGAACAGGTGCTCTGAGCCATGCAGCCACAGACCCTGCACAGAGCAAGGATCATCTTCATGAAGACATCCTGAGGAGGTACAACCCTTAACAGAAAAACTAAAAACCACACAAGGGAAAACGAGGAAAAACAAAACAAAACAAAACAAAACATCATATTATATCAACAATATTTAAAAAAACTCTGCATAGAGCACATTTATTAGCCAGAGGAGTAAGTGAGTTAGGGGGTCGTGTATTTGAAGCCACGAGTGTTGTATGCACTTGTGTGAATATCTGAAGAACGAGCCCGAAGAATCGAGTCCCCAAAACCCGCGCAGCCATAGTCCAGAATATAGATGGTAACTGTTCATTCTGTGCGGCCCTCAGCTTGCTCCAGGAACCAGATCACAGACGGGGGGGGGGGGGGGGGGGGGCAGACCCTCAGTCGATGTAAATATCCAGGAAGAATTTAGTTCACAGCTCTCAAGGCCATGTAGGAGAGCCAAATCTGTAATCAGTTATTTGGGAACAGAAGAGAATGTTTTCAGTCAGGCAGACAATAACAATTTTCCATCTGCTTTAATGTCCGCTGGTACAACGCAATGTGGCGAATCCAATCAGACAAATAACGTGAACAATCTGCTGAGCTATCAGATTCTCCAAAATCAATTCCATCTGGCCAGCAAAGTCCAGGGACCACAGCCGGCCCGCGACCCTTAGCAGAACCGCTTGCAGACCGAGTCCAACTCGCTCAAGGCAAAAGTCTGAGTGCTGATAGAACGGCAATCCTTCATATTGGTCAGGCAGCCAGAAAATGAACAGGCACCGATGCTGTTTTGTAGAACACCAGAAGACCACCAAGCCAATCTGTAGAATCCAGTGATCGGAGTCCAAATGTATATCCAGAACAGAGCAGAACAGAGGTCCCACCTTTGACATGTCCTCCCATGGAAGAAAACTTTGTTCCAAAAAATTTATTAAGAGACCGGCTAACCAAATCCATAAAAAAATAAAAATATCCATAATTTCTGGTTTTGGATGAAAACATAGAGAAGGCTCCAAGCAGCAAAGCAGGGAAAATACAGGAAGGCAGGAGAGAAGGAAAAAGTGTCTCACTCCTCTGAGAGCAGGGGGGAAAATCTCTTTCAAAAATTAGCATTAGCCGTTAGCTTAAAATTGACATTAAAAATAGCCYAATTAGAGCCATTTAAAATGAGCTTTAATGGCCATCCTGGATTTTGTATTTGTATTCAGGTAATGTTAAAGATTGTTCTTGGTTACTACAAATTTTCAGCTGTGTACGTTTAAAACTGGCTGAATAATATTAGCCTTTTATAAAATTAACATTAGCATTAGCAGTTAGCTTGAACTGGGATTAGCATTTGAACAAAAAAACTGTTTCTGTTCAGCACTTCTTCAAACAGCTGAAAAAGAGACATTTCTTGAACTTCCAAATCCAAATTTCCTTATTTATATGCCCCCCCCCACCCCTCGAATACACCCGTGCAACCCCTCGCAAAAAAAGTCTCGCTCCGCCCCTGAAAACATCACTTCATAGTTACCAATTTGGTTGGACTCCAAGTTCATCCTAAGACCTCTCTGGGTGTTGGCTCTGTGGCTGTGTCTCAGAACCGAAGTCCGTGGTTCAGAACTTGAGTCCTGGCACGGTCCGGTGTGAAAAGTGCTGATCTGAAAGCAGAAGAATGCTCCTCCTGTGGATGGGTTACCTTCAGAGGATGCCAGCAGCATCTCTGCTTTGTGTTTCAGGGCTCGAGGCAACAGGTTCCCTCCAACTGTGTGATCAAGAGGGAGCAGGAGAAGTGCCAGGAGATGATCGACTCAGAGGAGCCCGGCTCTGAGTTTGGTAAGCTTGTTGTTTTTTATCCTTTCACAAAATCTGTTTTAGTCCTTTAATCCCTTGGCTTCATTTGTAAACCTTGAACAGTTTTTTAGCTGGGTGCTAATTGAATTTGAAAAAAAAAAAAAAAAACAAGCCCAGAGAGGTTAACGAGCAGAACATCTTCAGGGTCGTCAAGCTAACGAGGAGCAGCCGAGTCGACAAGCTGTGGTTAACTCCGACCTGCGTCTCTGCACAAAGAGCTTTAATGTTCTCCTGGGAAAATCTTTAACAGGTTTTCTGCCAGTCGAGCAGATGTTTGACCTGATGAAGAGCGTGATGAAGATCTTTAAGCGTTCTGCCTTCAGAGAACATTTTTGTGTTTTTCCTCAGACTGCTTTAGGTTTTGGGACAACCTGACGTGTTGGGAGCCAGCCAGGATCGGAGAAGTGATCGAGGTCAACTGTCCCGAACTCTTCTCTCAGTTCATCAGTGAGGAAGACTACGGTCAGTGTCTGGAGACTCTGTCTTCATCATTAACTGTGTTGCTGTGATGTTTTAATATTTAGGCTTTTATTATTCGTAATAACCAACCTTCCTCCACCGTGCTCCACAGCTGGTTTGAGGTGTTTGCTGCTGTGCATTATGGGTAAACATCTCTACTTTGGTCTGGTGTTGTTCCAGAAGTCCTGATCCTTCAGATGAAACTCTTCAAACCCAAAGAAAACCTGCTATACTCTTTTTTTCAGGGGTGGAGCCAGAGGGGTGGCTGGGGTGGCCAATCAGGTGCCAATTTCTGGTGCACTTGCCACCCCTAAATGATTGATGTTTGGTGTGGATCTTGGATTTTGAATTTGCATTTGATCTCTGATACTGTATTATATAAAATCTTTAGTTGTATATGTTTCAAAAATGGCTGAATTATAGCCTTTGGTAGAATTAGCATTAGCATCAGTGGTTAGCTTAGTTTGGGATTAGCATCTGCAATCTGCACTTGATCATTCTTAGCTACTCCATGACAAATTTCATCTCATGAAGTCTTAATATGGTTGAATGTTAGCCATCTTGAATTTTTGATTAGCATTTAGTAAATGTTAGCATATTAAGTAAATATAGTTTTCAGCTACTTCTTCATTAATCTTCAGCTTTGTATGTCTAAAAATGGCTGAATTATAGCCTTTGGTAAAATTAGCATTAGCATCAGTGGTTAGCTTAGTTTGGGATTAGCATCTGCAATTGACACTTGATCATTCTTAGCTACTCCACGACGAATGTCATCTCATGAAGTCTTAATATGGTTGAATGTTAGCCATCTTGAATTTTTGATTAGCATTTAGTAAATGTTAGCTTATTAAGTAAATATAGTTTTCGGCTACTTCTACATTAATTTTCAGCTTTGTATGTCTATAAATGGCTGAATTATAGCCTTTGGTAAAATTAGCATTAGCATAAGTGGTTAGCCTAATTTGGGATTAACATCTGCAATRGACATGTGATCATCCTTAGCTACTCCACGACGAATGTCATCTCATGAAGTCTTAAGGCTCGGTTATAGTTGCGCTCTGGGTATTAGCACATGTTCCGTGGAGTGCGCGCGCTCAGAAGTTGCGCGCTGTGTGCGTTTATAGTTGCGCGCTGTTCCGTGTCGGTGAAAAAATGAAAACAGATGGCAGTACGGTGCCAAACCATGTCTTCCGGCATATTAACTGATCTTTCTTTAAAGCCGTTAAAGCCGTTGCTATTTCCTTCCAAGAGTTTTGTGCCATCTGGTTGTCATGGACAGATGCACCGGTTCATTCYAATCTGTTCAGCGGCGCAACGAGTGGCGTGCAGTCTTTGCGGAGTTTCAAAATGTCGGAGGTGCACGACCATGCGCCGGGACACCGCGCGGGGCCAACGAGCAGGGGGCGGGGACGGCGCGATCGCATCACTTTTGGTGCGCATTCCCTTCGCGCCCGGTGCGATGCGTCAACTATAAACCAGGCTTTAATAAGGCTGAATGTTAGCCATCTTGAATTTTTGATTAGCATTTAGTAAATGTTAGCATATTAGCATTAGAATATTATGTAAATTTTTTTGGGCTACTTCTACATTAATCTTCAGCTTTGTATGTCTAAAAATGGCTTGAATGATAAATTGTGACTAGCATTTAGCATGCTGTTTGGGTCGTTCTTAGCTCTACTTACACAAAATTTCAGCTTTATTTCAGAAAATACCTGAATTAAAAGCATTTGGAATTAGTTGTGGCGGCCATCTTGAATTTTCAAATCCAGAGTGCTTTTCTTTATTTGTGTGTGCTCTGCTTAAAAAACACCTTGGCCACCCCCTACAAAAAAGCCTAGCTCCGCCCCTGCTCATTTTAAAGAAAAGTCCATTTCTTCAGGTCCGGTCGTGACCTTTGACCTGCCGTCTGAAGTTTGTTTGACGCTTCAGTTTTTGAAGGTTTTGTCCCGCCTCCTGCTCTCTTGTCTGCTGTGACCTGATGACGATTTGTGCGTCCACAGAAGTGGGGAAGGTGAGCCGTAACTGCACCGAGTTCGGCTGGTCGGAGCCCTTTCCTCACTACGTGGACGCCTGCCTGGCCGAGGAGGGGAACCGGACCCACCCGGTGGGTTTTGAGACCACCTCACTTTCTGGGTGGGGTCCAGGCGTTCATGTTTGACTCTCAGCTCGTGTTGTGTTTGTCTCCTCAGGACATGTACTACGTGTCGGTGAAGGCTCTGTACACGGTGGGCTACAGCACGTCTCTGGTGTCCCTCACCACAGCCATGGTCATCCTCTGCAGGTTCAGGTGAGGAAGACGATGATCCGGCTGATGGGACCTTGAAGTTAAAACTACGAAACGTTTGTTTCTCCTGACAGGAAGCTCCACTGCACCAGGAACTTCATCCACATGAACCTGTTCGTCTCGTTCATCCTGAGAGCCATTTCTGTCTTCATCAAAGACGGCGTGCTGTACGCCGAGGAGGACAGCGACCACTGCTTCATACACACAGTGAGGAACACACACACACACACACACACACACACA